GGTGGCAGCACATGCTCACCTTTTCGGTGCCGCAGAGGCAGCGGGCTCCGAAACCGCTGCTCCCAGCCCGGTTTCCATCCTCCGGGGAGCGCTCCTCGGAGCGGTTTTCCTGGTTCTGCTTTTGTTAGACCCTGACACGTGACACATGTGTGCAGTGCTAAAAAAAGGGGGGAAAACCATATGGAAACAGACGCTTCAGAATTATTCCCCCCCTTTCCCTCTGCCTACTAATGAGCAAAATGAAAATCTATAGAATTGTGAGCATATGGGGCAAAAACTAATGAAAAAATAAAGTGGAAAAAAAAATCTGTTTGGGCAGCTGTTTTTCTTGTGTTGCATTTCATTTTGGCGTTTTTGGTTTCATTTGTGCATGTCAGAATTGGGATGGGGGAATAGCATAGCATCTGGACTGGTATAATGTCAGTAAAACAGGCAGAGATGGACCAATTAGATGGAATTAATTGCAGCACCATAGGCTGGATGTGGAAATAACACCATGTACATGAGTGAGTGGTGGGACTGCCTGATCTGCCAGGTCCATGCAACCCCTTTGCATTAAGTGAGCCTCAAATTACCCCTCAATCACCCCGTGTGTGAACACATTACAATCTCCTCAAGCTGAAGCAGCTCTGGTTGGGGTGGAGCAATCCACAGTTAGAGCTATCTTCTAGTTAGCGATGAGCACTGGACGTGGAGTCCTCTTAGCAGTTGCCATGGCTGAACAGCACTTAGGGAGCTGGTCTGTGGGTCAGCAGAGAGTGCTGTCCAGTGAGGTTTCCATAGATGGAGTTTTAGGTAAGTAAGTGTACGTGGGGATATCCATATTTGTGGCACTGGTCCAGAGGGCACAAAGGAAATGCCCAGTTATTTGTTTTTGTCCTAACACATTAACTTTAGGTACAGGGGCTGGACATTCACACTTAAGGAGGTGGTTCATGGGGAATCTGAGAGCACCTCTGTGCAACGTCGTACACACGGAGTTTCAAGTGGATATGTAAGAGTGGCTATCCATGGTGGTGGCGGCAGCGTTGCAGAGCTCACTGTGAGTAAGTGAGGCTCAGCAGCAGCTTTCTGTCCTGGCACCTTAGGCTTAGCAACAGGGGCTGGACGTTTGCACTCAGGGAGCTGGTTTCTGGGTTGCCTGAGCATGCTGCCCACAGAGGCTTGACACAAATGAACCTTTAGGTGGATAAGCAGGAGCGGATTGCCACGTTGGTGGCACTGTTCCTGAGGACACTGTGTGTAGGTGAGGCCCAGCAGCAGTTTTCTGTCCTGGCACCTGAGGCTTAGGAGCAGGACCTGGATGTCTGCACTCTGGGATCTCGTGGTTTGAGTGTAATTTGGGGCATTTGAAGGTGGTTTGGGGGCATTTCTGGAAGGTTTGAGCTGGTTTGGGGGCAAATTGGGCTATTTGTGCATAACTGGGGGTAATTCCAGCCATTTGGGGGCATTTGGGGTGCATTATGAGCTGCTTTGGAGCATTTGGGGGCATTTGGGGGAGTTTGGGGCTATTTGGGTCCGGTTTAGGACAGTTAAAGCCACTTTGGGAGTCATCTGTGCTGATTTGAGGCAATTTGGGTGGGGGTTTGGGGCAGTTTGTGGCATTTCAGGCTGGTTCAGGTTATTTTGGCACACTCAGCTGCTCTGGGGCATTTTGGGCAATCTGGGCAGGTTTAGGGGTGCTTGGGGTGGGCTTGGGACACTTTTCCCTGGTTTTAAGGCCATTTGGGGCAGTTTGGGTTGGTTTTTGCTATTTTGGGGCGATTCAGACTGGTTTTGGTTGAGTTTTATGTAATTTCGGCTGGTTTGGGGGAATTTCAGGTGGGGTTTGGGGCAATTTGAGCTGAATGTGGTTAATCTGGGCATGTTTGGGGCACTTCAGGTGGGCCTGTGAGCAATTTGAGCAGGATTCTCTAGGATGCTTTCTATAGGACAGTGGCCGAATCAACACACGGATTTCAATCAGGTCCAACCTTCGCTGCAAGCACCAGCCTCGGGAGCCACTGTGGGCTTCAGTCAGGTCTGGCCCCGCCTCTTTAGCGCTGCCTCCCCCCAAATGGACTCCTCCAGCCTGGGTCCCTTCCACATGGTGTGTCCTTTAGCAATAGGCTACTCCAGTGTGGGTTCCCCGCGAGGTCACAAGTTGTGCAGCAAACCTCCAGTGTGGGCTCCTCTCTCCAGTGGTTCTGCCAGGAGCCTGCTCCAGTGCTGGCCTCTGACAGGGTCACAGCTTGCTTCAGCCATCCCCCTGGTCCGGTGTGGGGGTCCTCCCTGGGCTGCAGGGGGTATCTGCTCCACCATGGACCTCCATGGGCTGCAGGGAGACAGCCTGCCTGGAGCACCTCCTGCTTGCTTCCTCCCTGACCTTGCCGTTTGAACAGCTGTTTCTCTCACACATTCTCACTCCCCTCTTTCTTTTGCTGTTGCGCAGCATCTTTACTTTTACTTAAATATGCCATCACCGAGGCACTACCACCATTCTGCTGGATTCTGCTTTGGCCAGTGGTGGGTCCTCAAAGCCATTTGGTTCCATACAACATGGGGTCAGTATCCAGTGTCTTCCCAGAGAAGCCAACCCTGCAGCCCCTGCCCTCCACTACCACACTGTTGTGCATAAACCACATAGAAGGGTGCTCTGATCTATCAGCAAACCACCTACAAATCAATAAAATCTGAAGCTATAAAATTGAAATTAGAAAAGAAAAATTTCACTTTCAGACGTTTTTATGCAAACCAATCAACCACTGCAATAAACAAGCAAAGGAAGTAGTCTCCATTATTACTGTGTTCAAGTTTAGATGCATTTCCAGGAACTTGTACTTTAGTCACAAATAGCCAGGTTAGATGAAAAAGTAAACCAGTGAAATTCATTGCCCTATGCCACAGATATGCCAAGCTTATACTGTTACACACAGAGAGAAACAAAAATTCTCATGTACCAGGATTAGCTCATTTTCCCTACAAAATGCAGGAATTGCCTCCTGAACTATTCATTTCCTCTCCAAAAGCAGAAACTCCTCCATAAATAGGAACTGCATCTGCAAAACTCCTTTCTAACATCTGCCTTTCAGATGTCACAAACATCCCCATATACACACACCCCTTCTTCACTTTGTGGGACCTGAGGCTGCTTGCCAAACTGTTGGAAAGAAAATGCAAATATATGAACCAGAAATGCTCCAGCAGATACTGGCACCTAATTCCCAAAGAGGACTGTATCTTAAGTCATACCTTTGCCTTTAGCAGTGAGCTGAGGCTGTTTCCTCATTAATACATTGGCCACTATAAATCTTAATCTTAGAAGCCAAACTGCCTTTGTGTTTCTGCTTAACTGATTGTCTATCCCAGCTGAAACCAGGACCCTGATGCCAATAAGTAACAAATATCATAGTCAGGCCCTGCAACCGAGCTGGGAACTGAAACAGCTACGAGAATCTCACTGCAGAACTTCTTTTGTGACTTGGCATGTTTCATCGCCATGGACACGCACAGCTTACAAACAGCAGCACTCCTTAGCACATGCTGGCAATCAGCAAATGCTGTCCAATAGACCAGGAGCAGCAAGCCATGAGAAGCTATCTGGAAAATCCATGAAGACCACAGGAGCAGGAAAGGTCAGTGCTTTCTTTAAAATACCCACCCCATTCTGTATGCCAACTGCCACAAGGCCTGGCTTTGCCATGCAGATGTAGGAATTTCTCTAGCATTCATACAGCTCTACAACTCCCTTTCCCCTAAAACCACACAATTAGTATTAACTCAGTTCTACTATTGCCTGTTATGACACCCTTCTGTGTCGTCTGTTTCCCAAAACAACTGCAATGATTTCTGGACAGAGTCTTATGTCTCCCCATAACTGCCCTACTTCTGATGCAGCTGCCATATTCCCAGCTTGGAACCTGTTCTGCTATTACTGTGGCAGGCGATTTTAGTATATTTATTCTATTTTGTTCACTTACCTCCCTGAATTTTGCATATTTTCTTTAAAAAGGGTAACCATTTGTATTACGATACAGTAACTTTTATGTTCATTAAAACCGTTAGAGTTACCAGACTTCCCTCCAGTTCTAAGTCCTTGATTGCACTGTTCCTCTTTTGAATTAGTTTAGAAATTCAGCACACAAGGTGCTAGTTACCCCTCTATTTTCCTATTATATATGCAAGAATCATTAATAGAATCATACAGAATCATAGAACATTGGGGTTGGAAAGGACCTTAAGATCATCTAGTTCCAACCCCCTGCCATGGGCAGGGACACCTCACACTAGACCATGTCACCCAAGGCTCTGTCCAGCCTGGCCTTGAACACTGTCAAGGATGAAGCATTTACCACTTCTTTGGGCAACCTGTGCCAGGGCCTCACCATCCTCAAAGAACATCTTTCTTATGTCTAGCCTGAACTTCCCCTGTTTAAGTTTGAATCCATCAACCCCTTGTCCTACCACTACAGTCCCTGATGAAGAGTCCCTCTCAAGCATCCTTGTGGCCCCCTTCAGATACTGGAAGCTGCTCTGAGGTCTCCACGCAGCTTCTCTTCTCCAGCTGAACAGCTCCAATGTTCTCAGCCTGTCTTCATACGGGAGGTGCTCCAGCCCCTGATCATCCTCATGGCCTCATCTGGACTTGTTCCAACAGCTCCATGTCCTTCTTATGTTGACACCAGAACTGCACACAGTGCTCCAAATGGTGTCTCACAAGAGCATAGTAGAGGGGCAGGATCACCTCCTTCATGCTGCTTTTGATGCAGCCCAGGACACGGCTGGTTTCTGGGCTGCAAGCGCAGACTGAACCCAGCTCATGTTCAGTTTCTCTAATAACGAGGCACTTTCCTTCCTTTAGTATCTATTGTGGACTTAACTGTGCCTCTTAGATTGCAGGTATCTCAGCAGCTTTAAAACATAATGTGGCATGTTAAAAAAAAAAAAAATCCCCTCTTGAAATGAATACTTGAAAAAAAAATGCAAATTCTTAATGTAGCATTGCAGGCACAGTGCTCACACTGCCTGAATATATATTCAAATCGTCACATTATCACTTACTATTATTTCAACAATTCCCTGCCTCATTCACATCACAGAAATTATGCTAAATACTAGACATCCCTTTTCTATGCTGTATCATCTTTTAATAACTTCATATATACAGAAGATCAATTTTTAAAAGTGCTATATAGGGCACAATCATTATTCCATCACCTTCACTTGGTATCTCACAAATGTTGCAAAACGTCTTCAAACTTATTCCTCAAATTCAGGAAGTGTTTAGCTGTACTTACCAGTGAACCTGTGCCACAGTCAAGACCAACAAAACCAATATTCTGAACCTAAAGGAAAAAGCACAAATATCAGACATGTACAGCTCCTATCTTGCTGCTGTGCTTCATCATTCATTATCCAGTAATGTTTGACCCTTCTGGAAAACAAGCCTGTGCTCTAAACATGCATTTTACTCTGGTAAATTTTACTAGCATCTTGGTTCTATTCCTCTCCTGGACCTGATAGTTACAAACAAGGCAGTACTAGTTTGAGATGTGAAAGCTGGGCATAGCCTTGCGGTAACCACAAGATGATGCAGCTCAGGATCCTGAAAAAAAGGGAGCAATGCAAATAGTAAGATCACAATCCTGGACTTTAGGAGAGTATAGAGTTTGAGCTACTCCGTGTCTGGAAGAATCCCATGGGAGATGGTCCTTGAAGAGAAGTGCAGGAGAGCTCCTCCAATCTCAAGAACGGTCCATCCCGAATAGGAGGAAGTCAAGCAAGGATGGCAGAAGGTCTACACTGAAGACCAAGATGCCCCTTACAAAACCCACATGTAAAAACGAATCATCCAAGTGTCAGGATCACACAACCCAGGATGAATACAAAGACACTGTCCGAATGTGCAGGAAGCCAAAGCCCATCTGGAATTGAATACAGGAAGGGATGTGAATGGCAACAAGAAAGGCTTTGCCTCTTAGCTGAAAGAGGCAGAGGATGAGTGACAGAGGATGACAAAAAGGCTGAGCTACTCAGTGCATTGTTTGCATTGGTCTTTACTGGTAAAACTGACCTTGCAGAATCTGAAGTCCTTGAGGCTAGGGAGAAAGCCTGGAGCAAGGAAGCCTTGCCCGTAATGGAGGAGGATCAGGTTAGGGAACATTTCATTTAAACAAAATGGATGTACAGAGTTCTACTGGAGCTGACAGGATGAAGAGGATGAAAAACTTTTTTATTGTGAGGGTGGTCAAACAGAAGGAACAGGCTGCCTGGTGGGCTTTTAGAGTCTATGTCCTTAGAAATACTCAAAACCTGACTGGACACATAACTAAGCAACCTGCTGTGGTTAACCCTGCTCTGAGCAAGGGGCTGGACTAGGCAATCTCCTAAGGTCCCTTCCAGCCTCAGCTGTTTGATGGTTCTGTGAATGTGTCCTATTAGTGATGAGTGAGTAACACAGTGGGAAGTATCAGACCGGAATTCCTATGTGCAGTGTGAAGTGGTGTGTGTGTGTACCCAATGCAGATGGGCTGAAGCAGGATGCTTGCTAGAAAGGCATTTCCAGTCAAGGACAAAAGAATGTGGCATAGTGCTTCCACTGCAAACCGCTCCTGCTACTCCCAGTATGGACTCATTCTGCCCACACAAAATGTCCTTGAAATCTTGAGAGTTTAAAAATAAAATGATAAAGTTTTATTATAAAAATAAAACACTGTGTTTGACCTACTATGCAGTGCTTTGTCACATACCTACCACAGGCCAAAAATACATAGTCTACTGCAGAAATACAAACAGATTAGCTATGATAATACTGTGCTATTGTGCATTGGAATAACTTGACCAGTATAAATAGAAAATGACACAGGTAGAAAGAGAAGCCTCTCATGCCGCCTTAATCAAACTGTCTTTATTAAAGGACTGGTATCTTCTCAGCAAGAGGCAAGCCAGACAGAACAACTCATAAAAACACAGAAAACCAAGGCATGGTTACCAATGTACTCTGACAGAGCTGTAACATCTTCCTCATGATAAGAGTAAGCCATTTTACCTTAATTTGACTAAAACACCAAAGCAAATTTCAGGCTACTTACCTATAACGGAACCAAAATAGAACACAGAAAAAGAGATGGTGAAATGATGTTCAGCCCTGAATGTTGTGTACTTATCTCCCACCCACCATCTCTGAGAGAAGAATCCAGTCCTCGACAATGCACACATCCATATGGCACATTCAACATTCCATCAAAATCCATGGCACACTTTCCATGGCCAGATCTCGGAGGATGTTTCTTTAGCCATTATTGCCTTTATGGTCATTATTTCTCTTTATATATATTCATGAATATTTAGTTATCTGTGTCATATCTCAAATGACATTATAGTTTAAGATGATGTCCAAGAAGGTATCAGTTTATGTTACCTCAGGCAGTGGAAGGATAAAGACATGGTCAGTCTCCAAAGTGAGTGAGTATCTTGCTTGATTACTGAATCCCGAGATTAAAACTGGTTGCAAGACTTCCTTTTCTGCTCTCATTTCATAAGAAAATACTGACTGAACTTTCTAAATCCAGGAAAATGATTCAGCTGTCTCTTCAAATACAACTGCAGGACATAGCTTTGATGGAGGAACGGGGCTTAATCTGTACTACTGTCCATAACATTTTCTACAGATAACTTCCAGTCCAGCCTGATGACTTAGCACTTATGTTTTAGAATTTGCTTTATGAGTATGGAAGTTTTGGGCATGCCTCTGTTAGCACTTTAGTTCTTAACTTGCTGCTGAAGTTTTAAGGACAAGGTCTACTGCCTACAGAAAGCCAGTACAATAATTGGCCAGTGGAATCTGACTTTGTACTCCAAACTATAGAAATAATACAACATTATACAATAAAAGAGAAATCTTAAAAAAGATGTGTATTTTTAGATAAGCAGAACTACTTTTAGTTAACTAGGAATATAAAAATTAAAATATGCATTTGTGCATGTTTCAACTCACAACACAGGCCAGACATGAAACATTTAGGCCAAATATTCTAGCTGCCAGAATAATCACTGAAAACATAAGAACATAGGAGGACATGGGGGGGGAAGCAACACTCATACGTGTGGCATAAATACTTGGTTAGAATTTGTCATTTTTCATTCTGTTACAGTTTGCCAGTGTTTGATACGCCCAGTGTGGACTATGGCATCCAAGACAAAGCAGAAGAAACAAGACACCACACGTGCTGGGAAAAATAAGCAAGAAATAACAACCAAGAATGGAGATACATCCAAAGAAGTAAGTGACATGGAAATACTTGCCCAAGAGAGAAAATCATACTTGCAGAAGGAGTACGAGGTTGTTACTGAACATATGAACACATATATGGGAAGGATGGAGTATTTCCTGCAGGAAAATAAATTCTTAGAAAAGGAAGCCCAACAGAATCAGGAAAAGGGCAATGCTTACCTCTCTTACATAAAAAAACACAGCCAGAAGTGCCAGGATGTGATAATAACATTAAATGACCAGAATCATGCTGATCTCTCTGAAGTTGAGATGCAGAAAGAGAAGCTCATCTCACAGTACACAGGAAAAGAAAAGGATGTAAGGAGAGATCTGATGAACATGGAGTCAAAGTACTCTCTTCTGAGCATGGAGGTTGAAGACCTGAAGCCTTTCAATGACCCATCTTATCGAAAGGAACAGATAAAAAAGATCAAGCAGCTGGAGAAGGAACTGTTGGTCACAAAGAAACAGCATTCAGACGAAATGCACAAAATCAAGAGCAGATTTCTGCAGGCCAAGGATGACTGTAAGATGGACTTTCAGCAGAAGATCCACGTTCTCACCAAGAGAGCAGAAGAAGCAGCAATACAATCTCTAATTCAGCATATCAAACAAGTAAAAGCAGAGAATTGGCATCTGTGGCAGGAATTGCTCAGACTCATCCAATACTCAAAAATCCTTAAAGAAACTAAAGTTCAATTGAGAGAACAGCAGGAGCAGCTTCTTCGGGAGAACCAGTACATTCAGGACATGGCACACGCACGACACTGTTTTACACCAGCATCAGGTGCACAATGCAACTGGTGAAACCTACAGGTCTCACAGCCTGTTCAGATGTGCCCATTAACCTCACTCTTTCCAGTGTCAGCAGACATTGCTGGACTGACAGCTGCTGCCACCATTAGCTAAGTAACAGAGTATAGAGAACAAAATATTCTGTGCAAGGATGAAAGGATTTACACAGCTCATGCTCAGCACATGATCCAGACAACAGATCTTAAAAGTAACATCAGCTCCAAGACATCTATATTAAGACATTTGAAACTGCAATCCCTTCATGTCCCAGAATAAACAATGACATTTTCTCTTTGAAATCAGTCTTTTATGTTTCATTAATTAGTAATTTTCCATGGGCAAGTTATATTCTTAGTCATTGAGGCAAACTTCATCTAAAAATACCATAGTACCCAGTGTAGGCCAGCTCTTACTTTCAGCAGTATTCATTTTCCCAAATCTTCTAAATGGCAAAGATTTATTTTACCTTCTGCTAGTCTCCAAAGAAGAGAAAATAAATAAAACCAAATAAAGGAACCAAATCTTTTACACAATATAAGCAGTTGAAGCATTTGACCCTTGGTCATAACTATCAATAAAATACCTTCATTTAACATATGCATATCAATTTTTACCTCATTCTTTTCTTGCTTTAGTGTTTCACTTGAGAAGCAAGAGGTAAACAGTTGTTTCGAACAGACTTCAGCTACATTCTCTTTCCAAATTGAACAATTCTGGGTTTCAATTACCTCACTGACAGTGACACTCTTAGCCCACGTTTTAACATTCACACTGGGCTACTTTATACAGAAGCAGACCTTTGTTTCAATTGGAAGAGACCTCAAAGTAGGATCAACCAGAGCAGGGCCACTCTCAGTGCTTTTTAGTATCTCCAAGGTCTCCACATCCTGTTCCAATGTTTTGCCACACAAGTAAAAAAAAAAAAAAAAGAAAACAAAGAAAAGAAAAGAAAAGAAAAGAAAAGAAAAGAAAAGAAAAGAAAAGAAAAGAAAAGAAAAGAAAAGAAAAGAAAAGAAGAGGAAAAGAGAGGAAAAGAGAAAAGAAAAATAAGTTTTTGTTATATTTAGATGGTATTGAAATTCCATCACAACTTTCAGTTTCAGAATAGTCTGGCTCTGTCTTCCCCCCTCCTCTGCCTGATATTTAAACACGTTTCTAAGATCCCCTGAACCTTCCTCAGGCTAAACAAACCTAGCTCTCAGCCTCCTCTCATATCACAGATGCTCCAAACCTTAATCATCTTTGTGTCCTTCTGCTGGACACAACCTCATGTGTCCATGTCTGTCATACTGGGGAACACAGAACCATGCAAGATACTCTAGGCATGGTGTCTCAGTGGTGAGTAAAAGGGCAGGGCTGCCTCCCTCACGCAGCTCACTGACTATTCCTCATGTGGCCCAGGATGGTATTTGCTGCCTTTGCTGCATGAGGACATTTGCTGGCTCGTGATCAACCTGGTGTCCACCAGGACCTCCAGGTCCTTTCCTAGCAAGCTGTCTTCTAACCCAATAGCTAGAACCTGTACTGCTGCATGGGATTATTCCTCCCTTTTCGAGTGATGAACTTCACCAAGTTACTCTTGGTCCCTTTCTCCAGCCTGACAGGGTCCCTGGATAGTAGTACAACCACCTGCTCTATCAACTGCTCCTCCCTGGTTTGTATCGTAGAATCATAGAATGGTTTGTGTTGGAAGGGACCTTAAAACTCATCCAATTCCAACTGCCTAACAAGGACACCTTCCACTGGAGCCGGCTGCTCCAAGCCCCATCTAACCTGACCTTGAACACTGCCAGGGATGGGGTAGCCACAGCTTCTCTGGGCACCCTGTGCCAGTGTCCCAGCACCCTCACATGAAGTGGCGCAAACTCGCTGGGGCTGCACTGCAACCCCTCATTAGCTGACTGACAAAGAGGTTGATCCCCGCAGTACCTTACCCCACTGACCTCCAGCTGGACTTCACGTCACCAATGGCAGGCCTCTGGCTCCAGAGCTCTGTACGTTTTCAGTCTGCACTTACTAGCCTGTATTTGGTCAGTTTGTCACCAAGGACGCTATGGAATACGGTGTCAGTCAGAGCACACGCCTGGCACGGGGGGCTCTGCAGCATTAGCGATGGTGGCAGCTACATTTTTTGAAAAAAAAAAAACACAACTTTTTTTTTACAGTGCATTCGAATGGTGCCCGTTTGAGAACAACCTCTGGCGTCCTCCCGCGCCCTCCAAGTTTATCAAGTAAACTTGTCCAAGTGACGGCACCGGATGCGCTGCCCCCGAGCAGTCTTACGCCCGGTGGGGGCAGAAGAAAGGGGGAGGCGTGAAGGTGGATGGGGGGAAAAGGGAAACTAGGAAAGTGGGAAACAGCAGCCCCGCGCCTCAAGCCCCGGAGACCTCCCCACAGCCCCTGCCACAGCCCCGGCAGGACGTCTGACATTACACTGTGCGCCTGCGCGGGCTCGGCGCGCTTGGCGCATGCGCTGCTCGGCGGCGCCGTTTCCATAGCAGCAAAAACCGACAGCGCGAGCGCGGCCTGCGACCTGGTGCAGGGCGGCGCGGTGGTTGTCTGCCCGCCTCCCCTCGCCTCCCCTCGCCTCCCCTCGCCTCCCCTCGCCTCCCCTCGCCTCCCCTCGCCTCCCCTCGCCTCCCCTCGCCTCCCCTCGCCTCCCCTCGCCTCCCCTCGCCTCCCCTCGCCTCCCCTCGCCTCCCCTCGCCTGCCCTCGCCTGCCCTCGCCTCCTCCCGCCGCCCGTTTCGGCCCGGCCGTCATGATCGCGCCAGAGGTGGAGGCGCTTGTCTCCCAGAAGTACGAGATCAAGAGGCGCCTGGGCAAGGGGGTGAGTGCCTGGGGGGGACTTGGGAGCTCGGGGAGCTGGGCAGCGAGTGCGGCGCTGCCTGGAGGCATCCCGGCGGCGCCTTGGTCTGAGGCTTCCCGGTCCCTGCCGCGGGCCGCGGAGCTGAGCCAAGTCTAGTGATGGCGGTCTGAGAGTTTATATCTTAGAATCCCGGTCTGGTTTGGGTTGGAAGGAACCTTAAAGCTCCTCCAGTTCCAACCCCCTGCCACGGGCAGGGACCCCTTCCACTGGAGCAGGGTGCTCCAAGCCCCTGTGTCCAACCTGGCCTTGAGCACTGCCAGGGATGGGGCAGCCATGCGCCTCAGCACCCTCACAGGGAAGAACTTCTGCCTAATATCTAATCTAAATCTCACCTCTTTCATTTAAAGCAACTACCCCTTGTCCTGTCACTACATGTCCTCTCCATCTTTCCTGTAACCCCCCTTTAGCTACTGGAAGCTGCTCTAAGGTCTGCGGGGAGCCTTCTTCAGGCTGAACAAGCCCAGCTCTCTCTGCGTTCCGAATGGGACAGAAACCTTTTACCAGCATTATCACTGCTGTGGCTGAGCTGCAGAACCTCTTCAGCTCTGCCCATCCCTTCCTAGCCCTCATCCTTTGACTCACAGAAACTTTCACACCAAACACAGCATTTAAGATCATTTAAGATCATCAGGGCCAACCGTTAAACTGGTACTGCCAGGTGCACCACTAAACTGTCTTCTAAATACCTCCAGAGATGGTAACACAAACAGTGCCCTTGGGCAGCCTGTTTCAGTGCTTGACAACCCTTTCTGGGTAAAATTTATTCCTAATACCCAGTCTAAACCTTCCCTGGCACAACTTGAGGCCATTTCTTCTTCTCCTATCTCTTGTTAGTCAGAAGATACCTTGCTCCATCCTCCTTTCAGGTTGTTGTAGAGAGTGATAAGGTCTTCGATGAACTTACTTTTCTCCAGATGAACCCCTCCCCAGGTCCCTCAGCCATTCCTCATCACACTTGTGCACCAGGCCCTTCACCAGCTCTGTTGGCCTTCTCTGGACCCGCTCCAGCACCTCAAGGTCTCTCTTGCAGTGAGGGGCCCAGAGCTGAACACAGGATTTGAGGTGCAGCCTCACCAGTGCCCAGTGCAGGGACACAATCACTGCTGCCCTGGTCCTGCTACCACACTGGTGCTGATACATCAGTGTATCATGTGTGTGTGGGTGCCGTTGGCTTCTCAGCTGCCTGGGCACAAACTGCTCATGTTCGGCTCTGTCAATCAGTACCCCCAGGTCCCTTTCCATGAGCAGCTTTCCAGCCACTCTTACCCAAGCCTGGAGCATTGCATGGGGTTGTTGTGGCCTAAGTACAGGAACAGGCACTGAGCCTTGTTGAACCTCATCCTGCTGGCTTCTGTTCCTGGATCCAACCTGTCCAGATCCCTCTGAAGAGCCTTCTGCCCTCCAGCAGATCAGCACTCCCACCCAGATTGTTGGTGTCTGCAAACTTACTGAGGGTAAGTTTGAGCTGCCGATCCCCTCATCCAGATCATTGATTAAACAATTAAGAGATTAAACAGAACTGGCCCCAGTCCTGAGGTGGGGGGAACACTGCTTGTGGCTGGTGCCAACTGGATTGAACTCCATTCACCACCACTCTCTGGGCTTGGCCATCCAGCCAGTTCTTTACCCAGTGAACAGTGAATGAGTTTACCCATTCAAGCTATGAGCATCCATTTTCTCCAGGAGAAGGCTGTGGGAAAAGGTGTCAAAGGCTTTACTAACGTCTGGATAGAAAATATGCACAGTTCTTGCCTCATCCACTAAGTCGGTCACCTTGTCATAGAAGATCGGGTTGGTCAAACAGGACCTGCCTTTCTTAAATGTAAAGAAGGAAGTTAGTCACTTAATGTAACTTACTCAGCCTTAGTAGTTAGATGTGCTGAAACCTTAGGCTGCAAGATGTGAACTTTCACATAGGTATGCTGAGCTTTTAACCTACTTAAATAAAAGGAGGCCCCAGAGTTCATTTGCCATATACATGAGGAAGCCACAAAGCTCACTACCCTTGTCAGCAATAGCGGCAGCCTTAGAGATAACAGAAGAAATGGCCTGCCTAGAGGCAGTGAAGAGATCCAGTGGAGAGCAAGAAAACCCCAGACCCTAATGTTATTATTTGGAATTATCATGTGAGGAGTGGGAAACTTTGATTGCAAGAGTATGATTGCTCAGGGATTTCTTTGTTCAGGGTCCCTCTCTGGTGGCACCCAGCTCAAGCTGTAGCTCACCACTGTACCAACTGAATGAATTCATCGAAGTCTGCCTGCGACTCTGCTTGGGAAAGCTCAGGATAGAGGCAAAAAGGGAAAACATCTGCCTGAGTGTGTGTGTCTAGAGTCAACATGCAGCACCCATCTGTCCTCTGAAGCTGCCACCACCAATGGACTGCAAAGTCCCAGTATTTAAAGTCTTAGGTGGTAGTAATGTGATTCCTT